TTGAAATATAAATCAAATTAATTTGATTAGATCTCACAAATACATTTTGAAGTTCGCTAGATTTATCAACTAGGAAAAGAGAAATAAACTAGCAACTCATGGTGGATTTCAATACAAAAGAGTTTTTTTCAATGATCAAAGAGAAGGAAGAAGATGAAAAGAGAGTGTAGGATCTGCCACTAAAGCTCTGTACAGCGTCAGGAAGAAGAATGATGATCAACATGCTTAGCAACCACCCTCTTTATAGAAGAGGGGCTAAGGTTTTTTTTTTTTTCTTTTGTTAATTAGGATAATTTTCCTTAATTTTTGGCTTATCTTAAAGTTTTCAAAATATTTTTCCCTTGATTTTCAACCCCAGATCTTGGCTGGAATGATATCTTTTTTCAAATTTAAAAAGTGCACGTTTTAATATAAATCTATTACTGTGCACGAGTCTTAACCTTGCCCAAGACTAAGTTGTCTGTCTACTGGACTCAAGTTTTCTCCAAAGCTTGTTTTTGGACTGATGATTCTTTTTAAGAACTCTTTTTCTTTTCATGTTGTTTTTCCTCATTTCATCCTTATATCTTGTCCAGTAAAACATAAAAAATAGTTCGAATTAGATAGCATACCATCAAGTTTAACAACCCAAAAGTAGGTGATAATGATGTTGTTTTAAGGCACTATTATGTGTGTACGCAGTTACAGTAACAATTGAACACTTACACAGTACAAGAACAATTGAACACTTAGCATAATACAGTAACACTTGTCATGGAAATACTTTGCCAATGTGTTCTCTTAATAGCAAATAGTAAACAGTTACAGTTGATTATCTGTCTATGTTATAAGGTTCACCAATTATCCTGTCAAATTTAAGTCATGCACACACAAACCTTTTCAAGATATATTATCAAACGTGTTTTAATGTCTTAACGTTTTACATTGACTCACGACTTTTAAATTGACACTTATACTTATTTTGTTTGTTACATTTCTATGCTACCAAAGTTTAATTTTTTTTCTCTAATTCATACTCATTACATGGCATATACTTGTTTTGTTACTTGTGAAATTTGTTTCGTTACTTGTGAAATTTGGTTTGTTCCTTTGATTTGCTTTGGATTCCATAATTGTGTTTTTTATGTGGTTGTATTTGAGAATACTCTTCCTAAATTATGGCGTGTACAAATTCCCTTTAATGGTTATACTTAATGATTCCAAAATTTATGAACTCTTTTACATGACTTTTCTCTCAACGATTATAAATTCAATAAAAATCTTCTATTGACTTTTTCTTATATTTCAAAAGTTATTATCTCTCCTACATGACCATTTCATATTAGTTTTCAAATTATTTCAAGTTAAATACTATATTTGACACTTCCATAATGAGTTAGAATTCTATTAAATTCCCTAAGCGACAAGTTTTTAATTATTTTCAAAAAATTTATTAAATATCCTATAGGACCTTACCATAATAATTTTAAATTTCCTAAATGTTCCATTTTTTTTATTATTCTGAACTTATTTAAGTACTCTATGTGACTTTTCATAATAATTATGAAATTTATTAAATTCCTAAGTGTCCCTTATTTCTCAATCATTTCAAGATAAATTAACCCTTAGGTGACTTATTCACATTGACCCTTAACATCCATTAAGTTCTCCCACATGACTCTTCCCTTAGCTAGTTAAAAAAAAAAAAAAAAAAGCTAATTTAAATCCCTTAGGTGACTTCTCTTACTTTGCACACTTAATTACTTTATTTAAGCATGCATGTGTATATACACACAGGTAAA